TGACGCGTCTGAGCCGTCCTATTTTCTTTTCATACCTTTCCAGACCACGAGGCTGCCAGCGAGCGCAATAGGCTAGTTGCTAGTCTTTAGTCTTTAAGCTAACAGCATCTTCATTTTTTGTTGTGTTCAAGCTGTATCAGAGTTACTGTAGTTTTTTAGTTTGCACCTTGTAGTCTTTCCAAGTTGACATTACAGTTACATTGTATTTTTCTAAAAGTTCATCCTCCCTAGTCTGTCTACCTTTTCCTAGGTTCCTTCCTCCCTCCATAAGATATCATAACAATGAAACAACCCTACTGGAAACTTCTGCCTTGCTAAATTGCCCTTGAGCATGACACCAAGTTGCAGCCCACTCACCCTGATCTCTGACTTAAAGAAAGACAAGACAAGAAAAATTAAGTTTTTCTGTTCAGTAATCAGTTTAGTTTTACACTTCATGCACTGCTCTGTGGGCATGGGTGCAGACCGGGGGGGGGGGGGCAATTTAAGTTATATTATGTAACATTAGGAAACCTAGAGCAAGCTAGCTAACGTTAGCTGCTTGCAGTTAGCCATAGATATATATACGTAGATGCCATATTCAGTGGCTCTCCTCATTGGAGCGATATGTCATCGCGGCCGCCATCTTGCTCAGGTGGAGCCGCCCTGCCTAATGCATGTATGTCTATTGAGGCAGAAGACTATTTATGATTAAAATTATCATTACTCGCTGAATTCTCAACCCATTTTCATGCGGTTTGTTTTGTTACAATCGTCAGACATGTAGTTATGATACAGGACACTTGGTTAAATAAAAAATGCAGCTTTTCATACCAAAATATTTGATCTTATGTAGATAAAGTAACAGTAATAGTTATACAACACATTTAAACTAAACTTTCCCCATGTAATACATATTCTTTTTTCTTACTAGATGTACAATGCCCACCACGATGTCATTTAATTATTAATTTTGATTATAAATGTTTATTCACATTTTAAGTCACACAATGTGCAAAAAATAGTGTATCAGCAGGGTTGTGCCGAGCTGCAGTGTAGTTACACATTCTGATTAACAAATGTTGGTTTTGTACAAGTGAAAATAAATGACTTATAGCTGCATGTTTACACAAAATTTTGCTTTAATCTCATATGTATCACAGTGCTCATGGGAGCCTGGACACAAAACATTATTAGGTCATATTTACAAAAAATATATACAGTGTACAGTAGTATTATTTTTAGGAGTCCTTGCAGAGATGCTCGGGAAAACTGAATACAGAAGGAGTCACTCCGTCCCTTAAACGGACAGTCTGCCCAGTCCTGTCGAAGTCCTCAGGTCTGAAGTGACAGCTACAGATAACTGAGGAGTCACTCGGGACAAAGTCCTTTCTCCTCACTGCTGCTACCCATGCCTGTCTCCTATCTGTGTTTTTTGGGAAACTATACACAAAATAAGTGTGTCAGAAAAATGCAGTTCCACATAATTTGTAGTTACAATTCAGGCCACAAGTTAACTACTAACGTTATACTGCGTTATGTCACGTTGGTGCCATGAAACAGATAGTTGACAATTTGGAATAACACATACACTGACATAGCTGGTTGACAAAGCATCATAATTTTATAAGTATTACTATAACGTTATAAATGTTAACCTTTTTTCTTTAAGTTGTGTGACATAGCGTTAGCTTAATTTGGCATTAGGACCAGATCAGGACAGTTACTTTACTTGATTAGCTTAAAAGAAGGATCACTTTTTGAAATATATATCTCATTAAACATTTTCATAACAGTAAAATATTGTTAAACAACTTCTTACCTGTGGAATGTTATTCCCTTCTGCTTGGTTTTAATACTTCTTTCGTTAGTAGACCCAAATGCAGAGCAAAAATGTGGCATTTTTGCCAAGTCTGAGACGGGTCTGAACTGGTCAGAGCACCTAGGCAAGATGGCGGCGGTATTGATGCAGCCCACAAACCAGGGTGCGGCATTTATGTATATATATCTATGGCAGTTAGCTAGCTTGCAGTTAGCTAGCTTGCTAACGTAGTTGCTTAGCTTGCTCTAGGTTTCCTGCTAGATAATGTTACATAATATAACTTAAATTGATCAGGTGTTCGTTTATATTAGCTATATTACTGTGAAGTTAGGTTAGCTAAAGTACATTGTTTCATTGGTGTCCTGTTTGTGGCAGAGAAGGAAACAGCCACAGGCCATCAGGAATGTTTTTCTTGTGGCAAAACGCCATTGTGTAATTAAGAAGACCGTGACCCCTGTAATAGTACAAGTAATAAGCTGGTTGATAGAGTCCTCGTGGAAAATGAATTAAAGAAGGGTTAATGCAAATTTTCAATAACTGTACCATTAGGCAACAGCAGATGCATAGAGTGGGGTGAGATGTGCCAGTTTTTACTTGAGGTGACTTTAAAGAGAGGGCATGGCAGTAATGCGTCCAACTAAAATATGTACATATATTTCAGGATGTGGGGCATCCCTGGGAACAACCACTTTGGATCTCAATAAACTGTTTAAAAAATATGGCTTTCCAAAAAAAAGTGGTCTTGTGGCACAATTTGCCCCCCATCTCATATACTGCAATGCTATGTCAAAGCAAGACAAATTCAATACCAAATTACTTATTAAAGCTTTTTTTAATAACATCAAAGGCCAATTTTAGCAGTAGATAACATGTCGAATACATGAAAGATCTTAAGTAGGCCTACATAATATTTAACATTTTCAGAATAAAATTAAGTTAAACCTGAACAAAATCAATTCTCAGAACCAGGCTACACCACAACATGCCACTTGTCAATGCTGCAATATTCTTCAACAAGGCCTATTTAAAATGTTAAGAGCAAAATGAAATTAAAATTGAAGGCTCCAGGTCATAAATGTCAACTCCTGGCCAGGAGAGTGTGTGTCTGCCCCCCCCAATTCTAAATAGCCTAAATGATTGAAATTGAACAAATGTATTTTCCGACTCCACATTCCCAATTATAAAATAAATGAAAATTGTGGAACAAATATTTTCATAAATAAAAATAAAATGAATTTATTTAAATAAATCTGATTTTGTTGGGTCAACTTGTGTAACTTGTAAGTATTTATTGTGCTCTTAGAACTGTACTAATACTAGCATTTCTGGCTCTGTAAAAACATGATGGGTTAGTTTAACCAAGCTCAGTTAGGGGCTCATGATAATCTGATAATCATCCATATCCACTGATGTATACAGTAGTCCCATATATTGGGAGAAAGGGAAGATGATGAGGAGAATTGGGAATCTGTGAGAGGTGAGAGATGAGAACGTGAGTGGACATAACATGCCTGAGACCCTGAAACTAGAAGTAGCATTAACTAACAGCGAAGCAGTGAAAAGGAGGGTGATGGCTGGCTCCATGTATTATTGGCTGTTTAAGAGAAATAAACAATAAAGGTAAGCATCTGATTCTCTGTGTAGTGCTTTTTGAATGACTTGGTGATGGTGATGAGCCTCTATGAAATTGTGAAATATGCTGGCAATCTCAAACGCTCTGTGAGCATGATTTGCACGCGTACAATTAAAAAAAAAAAATCACAACTGATTGAGTCCCTCCCAAACTTGTCATCAGATCTGCACCCATGTCTGTGGGACTGGAACACGGATGTTTTACAGGTTGAGTGTAACACCGTCCAACAGGTCAATGTACCATGCCGCTGTAATCCTTTCCGAGTTCTCCAGCTGCCTATTATGTATCCGATATGTTCCTCTTACCTAACATTGTTCCGCAAATTCTTTATGTTACAGCTTTAGAGGGAAAAGTTTCCACTCCAAACCACAGCAGTCAGCAGTTTCCAGGCATCTGTGAATGCACCGAGCTCACGCTTGCTCACCCGTCATCTGCTTGAAGTGGCGCTGAGCCAAACTGGCCCTTGTAACCTCAGTTAGATAAGAGGGGAGGCTGTGCCAGTCTGCCCCGCTCAGCCTCTTGTTCTCACAGGTTATAATGAAAGGAAAGGCACCCCCCCCGCCCCCCCCCCCCCGAAATAACTCTCATTGTTCTTTGATGTGGATAGAAGAGGATGCTTTTTATCCTGGCAGCCATTTCAAAGAAACCTTCAGTGTTCATCCTGAGTGGAATGTTGCTTCGGGCATCTCTCAAGTTTGCTTCTCTTTCTTCTTGTCTTTTTTTCTCTCATTCAGACTGAACAAAGGATTCCTCGGGTTAAAGCATCCCACAAGGCTCTTGTCTCCTTTCTTTTAAAGATATTTAAGTCAAACAAACTCTAATCCATCCACGCCCTCGTAGGTGACTGACGGGAATTTCATCTGTGGCTTTTAACACTGGCGAGGTTAGAGAACACAAACACTGATCACAGACAAAGTGCAGCAGTCTAAACACTGCTTCGACCAAGATAGAAATCCAGTTGGTCATAGAAATATGTAGCTTCTCTTCAATATTTATGTCAGAACTTGTGGTGCCCTGATGTTGAATACCTTGTGGGGCTGATCTCACATGAATGAGGCTGATATTTCAGCCATCATATTCTTTTTTTTGTCCCTTACATAACCATATTTCACCAGTGGTCTGTCTATTTTTCCTTCAGTGAGGTCAGATCTTGTTGAGTTGGCAAACTACTACATAAGTACATGCATATAAAGGTATGACATGCATAATGTATTTAGCAGCAAACAGTGTAATGCAATGCTTGAATAGTTTCCAGTACAGACCATGTAATTGACTGCCTTTTATTTGTATTATTTCATCACATAGAAATAATAATTTCAGGATCTGGTTTGCTTCATGATAGGAGAGTTACTTCATGATTACAGAACAGATATAAAAATGATAATTACATAATTACACTGCCCTGAAAGAATGGAAGTTAGACTGGGTGGTTCTTGGCTCGCTGAGTGAGAGGAGAGGAGGGGAGGGGGGGCTGGGGGGGGGGCGACTTCTTATGGGAGGACGCTTGGTGAAGCATTCCTCTCATAGTTTTGGGACACCTCTTCAGCCCGTGCATACGTCAGATCTGCTCGGGGTGTATAAAAGGAGATGGGGACTCTAAAAGAGGAAGAGCAAGCACTCGTCAACTCACTGCCAGGTCTGGTGTTTGATAAAGAGATTTCTTTTTTTACTTGAGAAAGACAACTTTTGAAGATGTGGAAAGTCTTTGTGATCGTTGGAGTTACACTGGTGAGGAAATAACCACTGTTCATTCATAAGCTGCTTGTCTTGCTGTTGTAAGAGGACCAAACATTTTATTAGAAATGTCTGTTTCATCTCAGGTGTCAGCCTCATGCCCGAAGGATTGTCGCTGTCCCCCTGACACCCCCAGATGTGCAGCAGGAGTCGGTCTCATGCTGGATGGCTGTGGATGCTGTAAAGTTTGTGCGCGGCAGCTCTTTGAGGACTGCAGCAAGACACAGCCATGCGACCACACAAAGGGACTGGAGTGCAACTTTGGCGGGGGATATGGCTCTGCAAAGGGCATATGTCGAGGTACAGCAAGTTCCCTTCTCTGCTTTTTATGACTCACTTTGTATTTTTAGTGATTTAAAAGCTCACTACTTCCTGTGTTTCTCTACAACAGCCAAATCAGACGGAAGAACATGTGAGTACAACAACAAGATTTACCAGAACGGGGAAATCTTCCGTCCAAACTGCAAACACCAGTGCACTTGCATGGACGGTGCTGTCGGATGTGTGTCCCTCTGCCCACATGAGCTCATGCTGCCCAAAGTGGGCTGTGCCAAGCCCAAGCGTGTTAAAGTAAAGGGACGGTGCTGCGAGCAACTTGTCTGCCCTGAGGAGGCAAAGACAGAGGGAGATGTGGTGAAGAAACACAAAGGAAAGCAGGGCAAAGACAGACTGTATGAAGACGACCTTACCAACAGGAATGAGCTGGCTCCTGTGTGGGGGGGGCAGTCACATTCTTTACCTGGTGAGCAGTTTTGCACAATGTTCTTTCCAGTGACATTGTTAAAGTGTCTAAGAAGAAGACTATAAGGAAATGTGTGTAAGATTACAAATGTATTGACTTCAAACTCTTCTGTACCTTGTTTTTGTTCCTTCTGTGCAGCTTTCAGGAGTCACCCAATAGGCCGCATGTTGGTTAGAGGGGTCAAGTGTGTGTCTCACACCACAGCTTGGTCACCGTGCTCCAAATCCTGTGGTACTGGAGTGTCCACCAGGGTGACCAATAGCAACGCTCAGTGCAAACTGGTGAAAGAGACTCGGATCTGTGAAGTCCGCCCATGCAACCAAAAGACCTTTACCAGATTAAAGGTTCATTTCACACTTTTTGTGTTCTAATTTTTGGCATAATAAGATTGGATTACTTGTTGATTAGCATCATATATCTTTGCTCTTGCACAAAAACAACATTTATATTTACACACACTGTTGTTGTCTTCTCTTCAACAGAAAGGCCAGAAATGTAACAACATAGAAAAGGCCAGCCGTCCAGTCAAACTGTCCTACGCAGGCTGCCGTAGCCTGAAAAAGTTCCAGCCGAGGTACTGTGGGTCCTGCTCAGAAGGCCGGTGCTGCAGGCCTCACCTAACGCAGATGTTACCTGTCAGGTTCCGATGCAAAAATGGAGAGACAGTGAGCAGGATGGTGATGATGATCGAGTCTTGCAAATGTAACTTAAACTGCTCCGGCAGCAACAAGAAGAAACCTGCTCTCCACAGGCTTCATAATGATATCCACAAACTGAAAATGGAGAGATAAAGGAAGACACCATAAGTGCTGACTGATAAAAACATTTGCACTTGAACTGCATTGGTTATAATTTTGCTTCGTGACATTGGAGCCTTGTGGTTTGCTTCATTTTGAAGCAAGTTTTTTATAATTACATTTTTTAAATTCTTATTTTTATAGTTGAATAAAAACATGTTCTCCAATTTTATTTTTTTACACATACTCAACATATTTTAAACTTCCCTTTACGAGACATGTCACATGACAACATGGTAGTGACGTAAAAACTAAGGCAGCTACTAAATCCGTCATTACACATATGTCGCCATGTTTGTTGATTTACTGTAAATTCTATTTATAATTAATATTTCATACTTCATTTAGTGTATTGTTATATCTAATCATGGGATATCATACAATAATATTTGTTTGACATCCTCCACACCAGTGATACTCAATTTACAGCCCATGGGCAAAATCTGGCCCATGATAGGGTGCTGTGTGGCCCGTCGAGCATTGTGACTCAAGTGAGTTGAGTATCCCTGCTCTACACTCATTTGCTTTTGTAAACTGTTTTAATATGACTGAAGAATTTGAATGAATTTTATGTCTTGATTTTTCCACAAATAAACACATAAAACATTGCATTTTCCCAATTATTTCACTTTTTAGGCAAAAGGCAAAGAGTGGGGCTCACAATAATATCAAAAAATTCTCAGTGGGGTCTGTTGTAACAGTTCTGGGTAGGAAATGAGCTATACTGTTTGAACTGCATCTGGCTGACCCACTTCTAAGTAGACCTACATGCCACTGAATAGCTCAGGGAATGAATGTAATGTAAACCTCGGAGTGGTTTCCCTGATGTTGGACAGATGCTGGGCACAAGCTGCAGAATTTTGTTTGATGAAAAAGTTATAGGGTAAGAGAGAATAATCTTAACTTTCCACAGAGATATAAGACATCTCTCATGTGCGACCCTGAATTTGGAAATGTATTGCTCTTATATTGATTGCAACACAGCGAGTGTTAGCTGGATATAATTCAACTCTTTTCCCTTCAGAAGTAAACATGATCAGTTGCAAATTAATGTTAAATTGCCCAATCTAATCTGAAGTATGACTTTGAATGCAAACACTCAGGGTTAATCCTCCATCCAACAAAGTTTGTACATGAATCAGACTACTGTATGTGACCTTCAGATAACCCCTTTAACACGTGCAACAGTGAAGCCTTTGTTTGTTTTTGATCATTCGTCCACTAATCTAGCATTTGTAAAATAAATAAGTCAATAAAAAGCAAAAAGACAAATAGGTCATCCAACTCATTTGAGTCTAATAATCAGAAAAGCTCAGGGTGTGTCCATCACGCTGCTGAATCGTGACACCAAACAAACGCCAGAAGTCACATGTGAGCTTATTCCCAAAGCAAATTCCCAAAGTGTGATCAACAGTATTACGTAAAGGGGCAAGACCAAGAGAGCGAGAACGAGAGCAAAGGAAAAACAGGAGTTCTGACGCACGCAGACATGAAATGGTTCCATCCCCTGACGGAGAACACAACAATAGAGCTTTGTCTGCGAGAACTTGAGAGGAGAACTGCTCGCTCGGGGGAATACGTCCACTGCAAGAACACACTCAGGTCTGGTAGTTTATTACCATAGATACAACAACAACAGCAGGAAGAACATGAAGAAGGACAAACAGAGTTCGGTTTTTAGTTCAGTCATGCTGCAGCAGATACCTGCGTTCTTGTGTGTGCTTCTCCACCTCAGTTATATAAAAGCTTCAAAAGCATGAGGGCGAACCAGCAGCAGCAGTTTCAAGTGGTTTGGAAAGGTCCCAGTGTTGCATCTATCTCAGTAATTATTTTTGCAGCCCTAAAGGGATGAGCTTCAAAACTGACAGCTCATCAACTGATTTTCTGCATCATTCATCTCAGTCCGGGCGAGAATCAGAACATAAACACACCAAGTACACATCACACGGTTTCTATGATTACTACAAAACAGACACAGGTTTGTTCTTAGAATCAGCAGGATAAAGGGGAAATAAGCATTCTGAGTGCCAAGACTCTGAATTTCCCAAATTATGAGTCAGACAAAGTAGTTAAAGTTTTGGTGGTTTAATGGGGAGCAAAGTTGAAGCTTGTTTCATGTTGGAAAACATGGCTTAACCACTGGTAAAGTTAGCAGGGACATATGCCAGAGGTGGGACCATGTCTTGTTTTGCAAGAGGTCACAGGTGAGTCTAAGGCCCAATCCCATTTCTACCCCTTAAATCTTCCACTTGGTATTGAGTGCCCTCGTTTGCGAGATAACCCTTGATGAGAGAAGTTAGAAATATTAGGGTAGAGATCTTTCCCTAAGAAATGAGACACCACATCATGCAAATCGGCGTGGCCGATGTGCAGGCATACGTCACGCGTAGTAGTGGCGCAAGACACCGGAAGTCATTCAGGTTTGAAAACACACCTTCTCTGTCTTATGAATCAACAGAGAAGAAATGCTGAAAACAGGAGGCGCATACGACGTCTTCTAGTTCTGATCGATTCTGTTCGGGTAAGTCGATTTGTTTAAATATTTTTTCTCAAGTTGCTGATGAGTTTATGCTAGTCCAACCATCTGTTGTTTGTATGGCCAACATTTCGACTGTACAGTAACAAATTGTTTTCAAAAACTTGCCGCAGTTGCTGACTTCGCATGGTGTTGTGGGAAATGTCATCTTCCACCTCGTTGTAAGTGTGGGTTGGGGCTCCCTTGGAATCTAGGGCGGGTTTTAAGTGTTGGAAACCACTTCCACTACCTCAGTTCTATTTTGGGACACCACTAGCCTAAACGTGAACGCGCACAACCAAGTGCAAGTGGGTATTTCTAGGGGAAGTGTGGGTATTGGGACAGGCCTGAAGTCTTTGCACTCAAGTCTCAAGCCCTAAACTTTGAGCTCTGAGTCCTAACCAAGTCATGATGCGCTCTTCACCAAATGTAATTAGAACGGATGTGATTGAACCCAAACGCAGCACTCAGTGACAGTTGGTAATGACCTTTACTTAAAGCACAGAATAAACAGAAACTTGAGCCGGGTTCAGGGGCAGACAGGTCGGTGAATGGTGGACACACACATAAGGCAGGAAACTCGGAGCAACCGCATCAACCCTGACTTATGAATTCAAGATGGCTGCCAGTCACATACATATTGAGTAAACACTCTGCTAAAGTACTGTTTATAGCAATTTTATCTTATTTGTTTTACATTAGGTCAGCCTCATCTGCAGCGTTCATCAGTTGGAGTGCATGATGTTTCTGAAGCTGTCTATACTCCGAAAGTGCAAGGGAAACAAAGGCTTTATTGCGGGCGTCCATGTTTTTATCCGACTTGTCCACCGTTGTCAACTAGAACGCAAAAACTGTTGTCAACCCGGAGGTGACGTCATTCCCACTTCCGACTTCCGACCTCTGAGTACAAAACGAAAGCACCATGAGCTTCAGAGTCGCTAAGGTGACCTGTGAGTCGTTGACCCATTCGGCCATCTTGTGCCAACAACTCACAGGTGACCTTGACGACTCTGAAGCTCAGAGTTCACGTGACCTCAACAACTGTAAAGGCCAGTTCAACCCAAGGATTCCAGACCTTGGTTCCAGATGCAACAAAACAGTTTCAGGATGTTGCAGAGAAAAGTTGCAGTGGTCTGAATGACTCAGTTGCATATCTGCTCAGGTCGGCTCATGCAGTTGCAAGGGATTCAACCTTTTCAATTGTTTGTCGCAAACTGTCTCGAACCTTGTAACCAATCTGCAGCAAGCTCGTGCTTTCTTTTTGTAGAGCTGGGTACCAATGTGGGCCGTACGTGAATTTAATCAAGACCGTAATAATAATAATAAGCTCCGACGTTCTTGGCTCTTATCGTTACTTTTTAAAGTTTTGGATTCATGTATCATCATGCTGCAGCCTCTCTCCTGCTCTCTGCATGTCAGGGCTGACCTCCTCCTCACAGCACACACACACCCTAAAAATGCGCCCCCTTGTCATTTTCTGGTTTTAAAATCCGGCCCAGTTGAGTTTGTAATTGAATAGACCTGCCTTAGGGTATCCAACCACAGACGGTCGCATACAAGAAGAGTTGTGCTCTGCTGATGCATCCATGTGCTCTCTGGGGTTTGTTGTGCTGTTCAGCTTCACGTGCCGTTGTAAAGTACCCGTTGCTGTAGAGACGACAGCGGTTTCAGTGATGTCGCTAGTCTCACCTTGGTGCCTTGGTGTAAACTGTACTGTTGCAAGGCCATGTAGTTGCAAATGGGTGCATGTAGTTGCAAGTCATTGCAAGATGAATCTTTGGTCTGAAGGCTGCTTCAGGCCTCCGACTCCACACCAGTCCGGTACAACTGAAGAAGCCTCTTGGATGAGAGGCAAAACATCTTCAGGAAACTCAAGCCAGTCCAGTTGCCTACAATATAGCACTCAAGATTACCACAAACTGGATGAATGAGAAACAGACATTTTTTCAAGTTGAGTTTCAAGTCAACAAATTTGTGTCCCGAGTCTGACTCAAGTCCAATTCAAGGGACTTAAGTCTACATTTCTGACATAAGCACTGTAACATAACTCTCAGAATGAGGTGTAGGTACAGCAAAGAAAAAACAAGTTTGGTCTGGAGCCACTTGCATAAAGATTGATCTACTCTTACACCTGCAAATTTAACTTTGCATGCAGCATAGGACTCATTTAGTGGTGAACGAAGTAAGACTGACAACCAAGCGCATGATGCATCTGCCTTTTTTCACAACAAACATTTTGACTTGTCATAGTAAGTAAAGTACAGGTGATACTTATAACATTAATGATGGCTCCGTTGTATTTGACTATCCCACTAAGACATGACAGTATGACAGTGAGCGAGCACCAGAACCCTGAAAACAAAACAGCTAAATGGAGTTAAGCCATCATCACTGTGGATAAAACCAGACACTTCACAGAATTGAAAAAGATTAGCTAACAAAACAGCTCCATCTAGTGGCACATTACTTTTCTACAGCTGGAAAACCCTTTAATTTTAATTCATGATTTTAATCCATGAATTATGGGAAAATAGTGACGAAATATCAGTTACAGTTACTCACATTCCTTAAGACTGCTTGTTTTATCTGACCAACAGTCTAAAACCCAAATGAATTTGATTTAAAGTTATCAAAAAAAAAGCAGCAAACCCTTACATTTGCAAACCTGGAACCATTAGCCTTACTGAACAATCTAAGTCCAGTGTTCGTTTATACAACTGGCTCCTTGTCATATTGGAATAAGACACAGTAGCACCAAGAGTTCACAATCCAAAAAATGTAAAAATAACATGTGATGATCTAAAAACAGCTATCAAAACCTCTCACGACAACAGCAGATTTCCCTGATATCTGGCTGGAGAAAAGTCCCAGATTTTCAGCTACATGTAGAGGTGAATAACTCTTCCTCTTTTCTGATTTTTAAATAGCCCTTATAAATATTACAGCATAAATTAATTTTAAAAAATGCAAACAAATTCATACTTAATCATTTTAGAAAATATGATGATCCAAAGGCTGATGATTGCAGGCCCTCATCAAACATTGTTGTGTAAGAGTTTTTGAGAAAATCCACGTAGTTCTGAATGCTTTGCTT